GATGAACATGGAACCACAAGGCACCTGAAGCATCCTTCCACAGCAGCAGGAGCGCAGAACAAAACTTGAAAGTACTCAACTGCAAAGTACCCTTGTTTGTCCTTCAGTGGAAAAGCATTACAAAGCCTCTTCAACACATACTCTGTCAAAGGGGCAGTGAAGAACCAAATAAAAGAATTTTAAACCTCAACCAATTACAGTATCCTTAGGCCTTTCCCGAATCTGTGCACTTTATTTCTTCCCATCTCATCAGATGTGATTTAAAAACAAGAGTCTGCATTTCAAAGGCCACCCTTCCTGTGCCCATGAATGGCCTGCTTTGGAATCTATGGCTTAAAAAGAGGGAGACATCTTGATTTTTTTTACAAGCTTTGCTGATTAAAAGGTTGATAATGTCAGGAGATACTTCAACAAGAGAGCCTGAATTCAGTGCGGCTCACTTTTATAGATTACAGAACTGCTTAAACAACAGTCATTTGAATTACCACATTAACAGGTGTTGTGATTTATAATGTAAACCTAAACATCAAATACAAATAGCCTTTGGGGGATGTTCAGAAGACAAAAATCATGCCCAAGAGGCTCTTCTCATTCCTTTTTTCACGACAAGTAATTACTTATAGTACTGCTGCCTACTATAATACATGAAGCTCTAGTACTCACATTGCCTGTTAAAGCTCTGCTAACACACATATTCCCTTCTTACTAAACAGCTGAGATTAATTGCTCCCCCTCTGAAGACCTAAGGACCATAAGATCAAAATTTTGGAGCAGGAAAAAATATTAAACAGAATAAATAAATAATTTGTGTGTGTGTGTTCATATATATTTATATCTGAACACATATAATTATGTGTTTATATGTTTATTATATATATTACATTATATATAGTGTGTGTGAATGAATGTATGTGTGTGTGTCTTTATGGAAAATTCAAAGTATTCCTTTAAACAGCCCAACTGAATTGAGTTTCAGAGGTCTTTACCAAGGAAGAATGAGCCATGAGCCAAGCACATAAATGACTGTACCCACACAAGCTCATGTGCTCTGTCTCTGTCATCAGGTAGGTGTTCAAATGATCCTTCTTTATACAGAACTGCTACAAATTCCACACAACAACATGGATCTGGCCTCAGAAGAGCCACTACAAAGGTTTTAAAGATGAACAGATGCATACCCTGTTAAAACTATATATTGCCAAAATGGAAAAAGATTGATCCTTAATGAAAAGTTAGGATATGTAAAGAGACAAAGAATACTCTAGCTTATTCTAAAAATAAGAAGGAATTTAGTTGTTTGTCTCTTTCTTTTCCAGAAGCCAAGCCATACATTTAGGGGAAAGGCTACAGAGATTTCAGATATTTGATTTTCCACAAGCACGGGCCATAAATTAAAATACAGCAATCGAATCACATTAATAGTGCAATGAAAAGCTAAGTGGCTGCTTTGGTCTTTTCTTTCATAAACTTGTGTCAAGCTCAGTGACTTCAAAGAGATTTCCATTTCATTTCTACAAATGAGGAGAACAGACAGACAGAGAGCCTCTGCCATCCTCTGATGCCTGAAGAAAACAGAAGAAAAACATGCCTGTATCTCATTCTCCTAATGATTTTAGCTGCAAAAGGAGCTTGGTCGGCAGACGACCCTCAGGGCAAGGGCTTGAGGTCTGTCACAGTGTATAAGGCTTCTCCAAACCCATTCCATTATCTTCATTATTGTATACCAGGAATAAAAGGGGACTGACTCCTCTTCTGAAGCTCAAGTTAGAAAGGACAGAATGTTTCATGTAAAATAACACTGTGTGACTTCAGTAATAGGTTTATGCCTTTGGGGGCCTAATACTAAAGCTGCATATAAGGATTTTCCACAGAATTTGAGAGAAGAGAAATGAGCACTGTATTAGTAATGAGTAAAATTCCGCAAGTTTTAGATTCGCTGAAACACTTATGTCTCTGTGTCAGCATGACTCATTGTCAATCACATACTTGCATCCAGCAGCAGGAAAATGGCAAAATTAAGGGTAAAAGAAAAAGAGCAAGGAGCTTTAGAGCTAAGTATAAGCCCTGATAAAAACACCCCCCCACCCCACCCCAGCTCACAGCCAAGCAGGAAAAAGGAAGTGATGAGCTTTTGGAAAAGTAGTACTGTGGGCTCCTACAGGGCACATCAACCAAGGGTATCTAGACAACAAATCTACATGAAAACCATTTATATGAGGAGTGATGCTTTCCTTTTCAGCTGATGTGTGAGTATGTGCACGTGTACAGGTGTGCACTGCTGCACTCTGAGCAGTATGTTTAAAATATAAAAATTCTTTACTGACAAAATTTACTAACTTTTATCTTCTAACAAAAATAATTGAAGAAAACCATTTCCCTTGTATCAATAAAGTTGCTCAGAAAGAGTCAAAACCTGTTATCAGTATTTTGGAATATCTCACTTGTCCTTAAAGCCTGCTTCAGAAAAGAGAAGCCGTTTCCCTGACTGATATGGGGTTTGAATTGAGACCTAAAGTTGTCTGTGCAGCCCTTCCCTTTTTGCTGATTTTGAAGAAACAGGCCATTTGAGAGAATACTTGAAAAGCACGTTTCCCACAGCAATTCAGAAGACTATTTCAAACAATAAAAAGAGAGCAAACAGAGCCCATTGTACAAGTTAAATAATATATAAACTTTTGAGTACATAGAGAAATGGGAATCTGGCTCATATCTGGTCTTTGAAAGATTCACAGGAAATTGATTTAATTAAACCTCAACTACTGGTGCAAATGTTTCCCTTTTTTCCCGAAGGGAAATAAAGTATTATATTATTCTTGTTGACATAATGCAGCAAAGCTTAACCAAGATTCTTGATCTTCATCCCACAAAGCTTTACAAACTAGCAAGACTAATAATCATTACTGAAATATGCATTTATCACAAATTGCTGCATTTTTACCTACATGTACTATCAAAGATTCCCACTTGTAACACCTTATTCACAGGGAAATTCATTAATATGCTAATTACCTGACTAGCAACCAGTGATGACTGACAATTTTACTCCAGCACTACATGAAGAAGACATGGCAATAATTTTCTGCTGGAGTTCAAACAGAGAAGACACTGTGTTGCATCAGTATATAACTCATTTAGGGAAAAGGACTCATATTTGTGGAGGACTTCTAAGAACAGTCCAGCCATCTGCACCCAGAAATATTTATTTTTTAATTAGCCACTCTAAAAACAACCATGTTGGCTGAAGGGAAGGGGGAGGGAGGCATGTCAAAATGATGCATTTGTCCCTCACCAACTTTCAATGCTCTTATGCAAGTCTAATTTTCTTCCTAGCCAGCTCACCTCTCTGGCCTCCTTTTGTTTCATGTCCCATTTCCCATTCTCCTCTAACTTCTGAACTTTTGTTAGTTCGCTTTTAAGGAGAAAGGGAAAAAAAGCTCAACTCTTTCCTATTCATTTTTGCCTGGATGGGGAGTAAGCAGAGACATGAATATGGCACCCTCATAATGATTTAACTAGGGCTTAATGAAATTTTCATCACAACCTGCTGTTCAATTTAATGGCCTTTGAAAGACAATAGAACAATGGCTAGAGGGAAGAAAAGATTTTTTGTTGCACGCATTTGCAAAGCCCAACATTCAGTTGCTCCCCCTCCTCTCTCTCCCAATCTCTTCACAAAGCTGTAGATCTTTTGTTTGTACTGTATATTTTCATTTTAGTAGAGCTGAGATTATGCACAAGCTCTGTAACCATTCTCATGTCTATCTGTGGCCTTTCCTTAATGGAGTCCTGCAGCTTGTACAACCTCATACTCAACGGAGTATTTATACATTGCCCAGAACTGCTTGTTCCTTCCTCTCTCAGATAAAAGCCTGGTCTCCTCCCCACCTATTCCCCCCACCATCTCTTCCATCCAAAGGCACAAGGTATGTTATGGCAACCTAAATGCAGAAGACATGTTGTAAGTAATATTAAAAAAAAATGCTTAGACAAAAAATTTGTTTCCCAGCAAACCCTTACTGCATGCTCCAGTCAAGAAAAGCCTAATTTACAATCCTGTCATGCTTCTGTGTGTGCCAGTGTGTTTGTGTCCATGCTTTCATTCCAGCATGCAGGTTGTCCTTAAATTTTCCTGTAGGTGCTGTCCCTTCATGCTTCAGCACTGAGAGCCCTGCTTTTAAACATTTGGAACAGATTTCCATGACAGGATAGGTGAGTGTAAATGAAAATAGTCTCATTACTGTGCACTGGGAAACAAGGCTCAGTATGTTCACACATCTTCCAAAGTCAGGACTTTGCCCAAAACAGGAAAAAAATAAAAATCCTAATCTTTGGCCTTAGTCTCAGCCCACAGAGCACAAGTCCTATCACCACCAGCTGGAGAGAGGGTCTCAAAAAGACACCCCTTCTCCAGAAATGACACCTATAAGCCACAGCTGAAACTTGCTGGGCACATATAATGCAGGGAACACCTGCATTCCCTCCTCTGTCTGTAGAGCACCTGCACTTCTGTTTGTCTGTAGATAAACAGAAGATGATGTGTCCCACACAAAAGCTTTCATGAATTCCCAATTTAACTTCTTATCTTTCAAATAATGGCATGCACGCCAGATCATTTGGACAAAAACACTGACATTGAAGGGTCTCTCTTAGTTCTAGAAATGGGGAGAAGGGAGTAGTGGTGTAAAAGCCCCCAGGTGATTAAAACTAGCTTATCACAGGCATATCGAGGAGGTTGCAACTGTAACAAAAAGACCACTAGACTCTCTTTTTGTGGGAAAAGCTAAAAACGTTAGCTATGATGGGACACTGATAAAATTCACCTTTAATATAGAAAAGAACTGTAAGATCTTTAATTCTGCCAGCAAGGAAAAGCAAACGGAGCAGAAAACGGCACGATTAAAAAGTATATGCACTTTGTGTGTATATATATATATATATAAAAGGATCTGGAGGAAAAAGAAAAGAACACAGAAAATTTTGGCCAGCTTCCCAGGCCTTACCTTCTGGCTCGTTTTTGATGAGCTCTTCCATTTTCCTTTGCTTCAGGGTGTCCACGACATCGGCGAGGCTCCCCTTGCGCCTCTCCGGGGTTCCCAGCGCTGTGCTGGACAAGGACTCTCCGCTCTGACGCCCACCTTCTTCTGCCTTCAAGGGTGAGGTAGATGAGTTGTGCGGCGCAAATGAAGACATCACTTTATTGCCATCAACTTCCTGAAAGGGGAGAAAAACAAGATGAAACATTCCTTTCTTTTCTTAAAGAAGGGGGAAAAAAATAGACGGAAAGAAAGAGAGAACAATCCTTTGTTCTTTGAGTTCATTGCTATTTGTTCTTCTGTTGAAACCTTTAAAAAAGGCATGCAATGCTTCAAAAACACCCAGAACAAAGCCTATCTATAAAGTATAAACCAAGATTACAGGCTGGAGTGAACAAAGATCAGCCTGCAAGAGAGAAACATAAAATACAGTTTTTCCCTAATTGAGAAGAAGTGCTCTTCTCATAGGTTTCCTAATAACAATGGTATTGATTACCTGTAATTGTTTGTTCTTTTACAGCTCACTTTCTAAAAAGAACTTCAATTTTTACAAGGACCATTAATTTCCTGACTTTTTCAAGTACTTAATGCCTTGATTGGCTAATTGTTTTAAGAAATAAAATAGCAACTAAACATTAAATGTCCATCACCATATGACATATTTTTACTCTCAGTTCAAGCAGTTCTCCCATCTATAAAGGATGAAGCAATTTCTTTCTGTTTTCTAATTCTATGCTCTCCTGTCTTAAACCTTAATTTCTTGTAGAAACATTATTTTTCACAAAGGTGGTCCTAATGACTTTCCCTGGCAGCACAATGGCAAAACTCTGTGACTTCCTGGAACACTCACACAACCCTCCTCACGTGAGAGTCCACAGAGGTCTACTCATTAATTTTAATGGAAAGCAAAACTGGTTCCAGCATCTTCAGACTTGCCTTCATTAATGTGAGAGCCTTCTCCTCCACCTCTCCTCCAACATAAAGCAACGTTCTCTGCACATATTCCTTCTCCTTTCATGTCTGTTATACTCTACCCTTCTGTACACATCTCCCAAACCCATTTTCTCCTCTGCTAATATATACCATCTGTACCTGAAAAATTTAGGTCAATGTCTCCAAAGAAAGATTGCAGCAGAGTAATACACTGCACAAAATATAATGCTGTAAACATGTATAGTTTTCATTTTGATGTGATTCTCCAGGTTGGTTTTTTTTTTTCACTATCCTATTACTTTACATTTTTGTACTCCAGCTGTTTAATGAGTATTTTTTCTTAAAAAGGCCACTGGATCATCTTGTGATATGAGTTACAGACTTGGTTAAAAAAGTCTTAATAATTTTAAACTGTTTTCGTTTTTTCATTTCATTTCAGAGGGTATGAAGGTGATACATATATCTATAAATATGCACACATACATTTTTTAGTGATTTGTGTTATAATTTTATATTTTTTTGAGTAATTTTGATGTCTCTGCTCTAATAAATCACAGCATTCCAGAAAAAAATATATACTTTTATAAATAGAACACAAATTGCTATAACTTATTTCAATAAAATTTGAGTAAAGCTACATGGAAAACATGCAATAAAGAAAATACATTTGTTTTCACAGGCTACTTTGTTGTGGCAAAAAGATTACCTATGGTTAAGAAAACTTTTAATGCAAACAGTTTTGAGCAGCTTGAATGTGTTATACTAGTGAATAAATTCCCTAACAGAATCGGATTTAACTGAGATTACAATCTGGGCCATCATATGCCCCAAAACCCAAACCCAGTGATGTTAATGAGAGACTTTCTACTGACGTCAATGAGCTTTTGACCAAGCCCTAAAAAATTTTCCAACTCAGATCAACAGAAGTGCTCCTTTTTTTTTTTTCCTTGCAACTCCCTCCATTTTTGTTCTGCACTTGGAAAATTCCTAGTTGCTAACACCAGACTTCAAAACTTAGTTGAAGCCAAATGCAATTTTTTTTCCACATACAGACTTGAATAAACTGATTTTTTAACACCAATCTAAACAAGAAAAATGGTTAACTTCAGCATCATTTCAGATTTTATCTAAAATTCAAACCATAATCACCAAGTGGCAATTTTTTTTCCTACACACAAGGCTAAAAGAGGAAATATCTTGAAAGCTGCTTTCTTATTCACACTTTGAGACAGATAAGCCAAATATCATCCTTAGTTACAGTTCTTAAATCTACCTATGCCTCAGTCATGTACAGGAACAGTGTGTTTCTTCATTTTACCAGGAACTAGTTCCTTGTTTTAATCCAAAGCAGGTTCCAAAGCCTTTTGCTCCTGTTTTTGTGTGTCACATGCTGGTCACAGACACACAGAACTTGTAAAAATCACCTAAACCTCAGGTATCACCACTACTGTTTCCATGTATATTTAAGGTACATGCAAGTGTGTTTTTCTACGTAAAAATATATTCTGAGTATAAAATAATTTTTTTATAAGAGAAGAAGCAAAAGAACACAAGGACTGAAAGATTATGTAAAGTAATATAAGATGGTTTTCAAAATCACAAATTGCTTGGCTTTCAAATGAAACTCATTTTCGTGAGTTGAAGTATTTAATTTAAGTATTTTTAAGACTCTGTCTTGCTTTCTGGGGAAATGGAATTGTGAGGGGACAATGCAGTGGTCTGTGAATGAAGCATCATGAGGGGAATGAATACTCAGTTCCTAGTTCTTTCCAGTGCACTGTGAAACCACAGAAAATATCAATTTTCTTCCCTGCATTTCAGTTTCCTACTTGTAAAACGGGGACAAGTAATCTCCTCTATTATAAATGTCCTGGAATGATAAATTCCTTAATAACAGAGATACCCTCGTACTACAATGTTGGCTAAAAGCATTTGTAATACCACAGTTAGAAAGACTTCATAGCTAGATAAGAAAGGAAAGGGAAGTCTTCTACACAGATTTTTTTTTTTAAAAAAAAAGGTAAGTTATATAGTAAAATATACAATCAAGAAACCATTCCCCCCCAGAAAAGTTTCTTTAGACAACATGGTTAGGTGTGCATGTATGCAGTGTTTGCATATCACATACATGGCTATTTATACACTTGTGGGATTTAAGACTCAATCAAAACACATATACAGTAGGGGAACAGCTGCAATCACATCTCAGTGGGCTAAATTACAGTACACCAGTGAATTATTCATTCAGAAAGATCTGTAGCAATCACACATCCACTGCGTGATTTGCAATCCGAGAGGAATCCTCTCCTTTCTGTACCGCTGGATGAGAGCACACCCCAGCTTCTGCTGCTGATGACACTTCTACGTGTATCCTCCAGCACACCAGCTCTAGAATCTGCTTTCCCACAAGCCCAGGATCCTTTTATTCTGTCATTCACAACAACAACAATGCAAAACATGCAACAGTTATCTTGGCTTTCACTTCATGTCCCTCTTTTTTATTTTGTTCTTTCTTATGCCATTACTTGGAGACGTGGAAAAGCTCTCAATGGGTCTGGATTTTTACTACTAGCACGTAAAAAGAAAGGATACTTCCACCACATAAAACCTGCTCGTGTCATAAAGCCAAAAAACTTCAAGTAAAGTAAATCCTCCGATACTGCACACAAGAGTTTAACTATTCCCCTGAAAACACTCAGAGAAATCCTTAATGGCAAGAAAGATATGTCAGCAACAGTTTAAAATTAATCCCCTGAGAAGAAGTTCCCTCCCAACAAGCGAGATTTAGCAGGTTCTTTTTTTAAAAGGACAAATTGACGTGACTTTCTTCAGTTTAACTGAGAGAAAAGCAACAACACTGTAAAGTGGTATTAAGAAACATCAATGTCTACTACTGACGTTTTACAATTAAGTCCATCAAGCCACACACAAGACCCATCTCTCAGCCCCTAAAACAGCAGACAAACACTTTTCCTGGAGAACAGTCTCTCTCAGCTGCGTAACCATTTCACCTGTTCAAGTTTGATTACATTCCAGCCTCTGGCACTGTTAATCCTGGTAACAGTTTTATGCAGGCAGCAGCTGCTTGGTGGATGGGGCTCTATTCTTCATTTGCATTGCAAATTGCTCTGCTAATGTGTGCTGGCCCAACATCTCCTCCAACTCTGAGCTGGGATCATACTCACCAAACACCTGATGCTGCTGCTTCTTGATTTCCCACTTCGGAAAGGCAGACCAGCACCTACACAGATCTTGCTGAAGCAAACACTCTAGGCCCTTCTTTCCCCCACAAGCAACAGCAACAAAAAAGGGACCAGACCACCTTTCGTGTCTTCTGCTTCTCTTCCAAGCTAGAATCCACAGGAAGACTTGTTCATTTACAAGAAAGTTGCCTCAATATTGCTAAACAGCCTTCCACCTATGGAGGAAATACCTCTTCCAAGGTTTAACGATAAAACAGGCTTCTGCCCTTTCGGGATGAGGTCAATAATCTTCCTTTGTTAATCTTGGGCAAGCTTTACTTAATCTAGCCCCCTTGTCACCTTTGTGATTGACAGGAAAAGTCATGTCACTGGACAATGGACTTGTCCTCACTGAGCAATATCTTTTTTAAAGATTACACAATGTTACCCTTGCTCTCATAAAAAGTGCAAACATTGTGCTGTTGAAAGAAACTCTTCATTCCAGCTGTATCTTTCAAATTGTCACCCTCTGTTTCCAGGGTCCAAGGGAGGCCTATTTCAGTTCTACAGAGGAACATTTAAAGGCTTAATGAAAAGAAACAGGTTGTACTCGGTGAGATTTCCAAAATATCTTAGTGCTCTAAATAGATCTCATCTTCTCCTTCCTCATCTAGAGATGCACATTATTCCTGTCTGCAATTAAACTCAGACACTCTGCTTCTGTGACATTAAAATTTTGTCCCAAACCAACCAAGAATCGAAGCAGAAGAAAACTGAGAACTAAGTCTGAAACTGTTAATTACCACCATATGGTATGCATGAAGTCTGCATCTGCAGGAAAAAAAAAAAATTAAAAAAAAAGATATCATGAGACTCAAGCTGCTGGTTTTGCAGCCAAAAACACCTGGAATAAAATACTCATGTCTTTAAAACAAGCACAGATATTGTCTGATTTTTAAGAAGCCTGTGATCCTAAAAGCAACCGAAAAGGTTCTTTTTTGCAAAGCTGGAATTTTGCCCATACTTCACTTTTAGAATGTGTAAAGAAGACCAAAAGCAGGGT